AAATCTGTAAATTGATGGCTCTGCTATTAATAGGCGGTGCCCGGACTGTGACTTCCTCTCTCCAGGCCTCCACTTGCTCCTCTGAGGAAGGGCTCTGGGCTTGGGACCCACGCCCGCACCTCCGTCGCCCTCTCCCTGTGGGCTCTCTGCTGGGCACCGGCCCTGTTCAGCCCCTCGCCAGCCGGCTGGGGTGCTATTCCCTACTTCCCGCCGTCGGCCTCGTGGTGCAGGGTCTGTCAAGAGGCTGAGAAATCTGGCCCCGGGCGCTCAGTGGGTGCGTGAGGGACAGGACTGGGGGCTGGCAGCGGGCTTCAAAGCCCGGGGCTGCCCCAGGACGTCCTGTGTCCCTCGAGGAGATGTTCCTTGCCAGTGCTGCGTGCTTTGGGCTCACACGACAGCAGCTCCAGCTGCATGGAAAACATCTGCAGAAGAGATCAGCGGATCCCGTCAGCGCTGGCCGGCTGCAGGCAGCAGGGAGCGGAGCCCGGAACTGGCCCACGCCGCCGCTCGCCCCGCGGCAGAGGGCTCTTCCACTGCCACGCCGCAGTCAGTCCTCGTGGCCACCCTCTCCGGCTGGCGGGGCCGGGCAGGGGCCGGGCAACGCTGAATGAAGTGTCTTCACCTCACCTCTGCTCAGTGGCCTGCAGCTGGGCTGCGCCGGCCTCCCAGTCAGGGCTCGAGGTCAAGGGCTTTTCCAAAGGGCGTTTGAAGCTGCCCAGGTGAAATGAACTTGGCACAGGCACACGTCTCTGTTCCAGGGAGCTCTGCCTTGCAGTGCAAACCTCAGTCTGAGAGGAGAGCGCTGGAGGGCCGGAGGGCGCAGGCGGGCTGTGCAGGGAGGGCGCCCCAAGGGTCAGCACCGGGCTGCGGGCGCAGCGCTGTGACCCCACGACAGCGCCGTGCGCTCTCTGCCTTGGCTCCTGGGGCCTTTTCAGAAGCAAGGGCAGATTCTCTTATGAACTGAAGCCATTCTTACTGTTCGCTTGCTCTGGAAACGACTTGCCCACCCAGAGAGCAGAGTGGGACGCTGTCCACACTGAGGGCACAACTGTCCTCACCGTTCCCAAAGCTGGGCGGTCCACCCAGCCTCGCCCTCGCAGCCCAAAGGGGAGCTCTAGTGGAGCTTGAGTGCTTGTTGTGCACTGAAGCCACGCCCTGCGGGAGCAACGTGCTGTGGGCTCGGGCCCCCCCTGAGCCTCTGTCCTTGCCGGCCAGGCCTGAATGCCGATTTCCCCGGGAGAGCCGTGCTCACGCGCACCTCAGGCCTCCCTGCCCCTCTTGACCAGCCGGCCTGTGCACACAGGTCCCTCATGTCACAGCGGGGCCAGGAGCCCCGGGCAGCTTTCCCTGCCCCGTCTGGTGAGTTTGGGGGAGCTTTCTCCCCCCGCAGCCTGGAATTCACGAGGGTAAGTGTCTCCTTAAATTTGTCTTCCTGTGACTTTCTCCTGACTCAAATGTGGGCTCCTGTCTTGTAGCAAGATTGTAACCCCCACACAGTGCGTTTGGGGAAGGTGGGTAAACGCGGGGTCCAGTCCCCTCAGAGCGGCCACCACCCACAGTCGCTGCACTGAGCTAAGCTGCGTGGAGACAGAGCTGCTCTGCCTTCAGGACCCTCTGCACCCCCCGCCTCCAACTCGCTGCCCTTTCCCACGCACTGTGCCAGGAACTAGGTCCAAAGCCAAGCGGACCATCACACCAGCTCCATGCCCACGTGACAGCCTTTCTCCACGGCACCCCTCTGCCTCGCCCCTGATGGCACGCCACGCAGAACTCTGGCCCGTGCCAAACACTCTGTTTTATGCCTCAGGGGCTTTGCACACACCAGCTCCGTCCTCTGGAAAGACTTTCTGAAACTTGCCCTTCTAACAAACTCCTGTCATTTCAAACCAGCTGGTCTGGTGAGCAGCCTCCTCTGGAGCAATGCTAGCAAACTGCACCGAATCGTCCGTCAGACACGAGATGCCCTCAAGAGAGCCCACGAGACCTCAGAGCTCACCTTCCCCTTCGCGCCATCCCCTCTGGCCAGCCCTTCCCCCAGCAGGCTTCGGTTCTGCTGCTTCTCCACACCATCAAGACACGAGGCTGAGGGACGAGGACCCCCAGACAGGCTAGGAGCTGAACATCCACCTGTTAGTTACCTTTCCAGAAGCTCAAACCAAATACTTTCTCTAATGCCAAGGGGCCAGACATGCACAGGTTCAAATCCCAGCTCAGTGCGTTTGCCCGCTGAGCCTCGGTGCCCTTGTTTGACAAACAGATTTTGCTACCACCTGACTTTCTTGCGAGCATGACATGACCTATGTTTGTTATTTAATAGCTAGGTCCTTGTCTCCTGGAGAGAAAGCACATCAAGACGAGCATGCATAAAGGCAGGGTGCATCCAGACAGGTGTGCAGGCACACGCACACACTCTCTCCAAGACAGAATCACACGCTCACACTCCAGTCAGAAGCACGGCACCGCAGCGATACCCCGGGGCAGAACCGGACCCGCCCGCTGACTGGCTTGTGGAAAGGAGCGCGCTCACACTCTGTCTTCCCAATTTGAGAATTCGAAGCACAGATGGGATGCTGGCTCCCTCTTCTCTCCTGTCTCCAACTCGCTTGTCAGAGGCACGTTTACAAATGCTGTCATAGCTGATTTTGCCTTGGAAGCGTCTGCTCGAGGCACAGATTTGGGCGTATGTGGGGTGCGGGGTAAAACTCCATTTTTTCTTTTGTTGGTAATTCAAGTCTCAGCAATACAAATGTTTAGCAAAAAAGGGAAAGCGTTGTGCAAGCCCAAGGAGAGCTGCACGCTTTTGCTTACTCCTGACTCCTTAAGATGCCTCTGACATTTCATATCAAAGCACTCTTTACCTGTGAATTCGTAGGTGATTTTTTTCATGATAGTACTTCAGCCATGACAAGTGTGTGATGGGAAAAACATTTTTTAATTCCCTGCTGGGAAGAGTGCAGCAAGACACTACTGTGGCAACATCCATCTAGAGGCTTCAAATACCAAGGTCCCCAACTGAGTCACTCCACTTGGAGAATGTGCCCACGATGGAACTGGACGTTGCGCAGAGCTTAACGTACCGAGCCATTCACTGTGGCATTTTCATAGTGACGAAGAGTCACAATCAAATGCCCCGCAGTGGAGGGAAGAGCTGTGGAACTTCGTGTCTGGTCAATGAAGCGCCAGCCGTCACCAGTAACAGGCCCTGTCTCTGCCTGATTCTGCACCACCAAAATGCGGGCATCGTGTGAGTAGGAAGGTGGATGGATGAATGAGTGAGTGAATGAAGGGACACAGGCATTCCCCATGAGTGCCTGACGTAATGAGATCTAGAACAACTCAGAAATAGATCCACGCTGCATAAAGTATAAATGACAGCAGTAATACTGTCGAAATCACCACTACCTCAGACCTAACAGAGAAACCTAAGGAGATGAGAAGGAAAGAAACCACCAGAGATGAAGTAACATTAAAAATAACCGTGTGTGGGCCCTCCCTGGTGGCGCAGCGGGTTAGAGCACAGCACTGAGAAGCTAAAGCCGCTTCTGCATGACTTTGATCCCCGCCTGCCCCGGAGGTGACCACATGGTGGGCAGACCTCTCCTGACCCGCCCGCTGCTCCCCTCAGCAGTGTACTGCTCCCTGCTCTGTCTCTGGTGAATCCTCACAGCCCCTGCACCTCTGGCCTGTACCTCTGGCCTGTACCTCACAGCCCCTGCACCTCTGGCCTTCTGTATGCATAAATAAATCTTAAAAAAAAAATAAAAAAAACGTGTGATGATTCCGTCTAAATGTCCGCATTGATTTTCTGTAGCTAACAAGTCATAAACTAGGACCTGGCTCTGAGGTTTGTGTGACGAGGAAATGCTTACTTAGCACAGCACTGGGGGCCAAAGGCAGGCTTTGCTAGCTACTGAAATGTTTCCAAAAATACGGCATTAGAGCTTTTCATGAGACGTGAGAAGGTGGAGAGAAGATAAACAAGTCTAAATCCTCAAAGACGGCAAAAGCAAGCAACGGGGGGTGGGGGTGGAGCAGGGAGGGGGCCGGCGGGGTTTCAACGAGTCTGTAGATGGAGAAAAGGCGAGGGGCAGTCTGACAAGACACCCCGGAGTGCAGGGGCGACACTCTGGGGGTCCCCAAGAGCCCCGAGGCACCACGGAGGCGGGGAGGGAGTCGAGGGTGGTGGTGGCCACGGCAGGAGACCACCCCCACGCGTGGCCCGATGGCCCAGCCCACGGCCGGACGAGCGCCCGCGCCCCGAGGCCTCCTCTGTCGAGGCAGGGTCCACCCTTACTTCCCAAGCTGACGCGTTCGGAACAGCGGCCGGCCACCGCCCAGGCACACAGGGGCCACGCTGAGGACAAAGCAGCGAGAGGGGCCACACGGGGCCACGCAAGGCCCGACAGGGGTGGGGGGAGCCCGTCACGAGGCCCTCGCGCGCTCAGAGGGGCGCTCTGACCAGAAGGTGCAGGAGAAGGCTTTCTGGCGTGCAGCGTGTGCACGTGCATTTTACTTTGCGCCGTTCTCAGATGTGAGGCAAAGGAAGAAGGCAGAGAGTATTTCCAAGCTGAAATACGTCAGGCCCACGCACGCACGTGTGTTCGGCAACGAGACTGCAGGAGTCTGCTCCTTCGGCCAGAGCAGGCCCGGTGGCACGGGCCTGCGCTCCCGGCCACGCTCTGGCTTGAGACGACCCTCCCGTGCGAGCTGCCATGGTGCCTTCAGCCAGGGCGAGCGACAGCCGTCTAGAGCGCTCCGGGACCCGGTCACCGGGCAGGGATTAGGGGCGCGCGGTGCTTGGCCGGCTCAGCGCAAGCGGAAGGGGGTCTGCGGGGAGCCCCCACCTGCCTGCACCCACTCCCGCCCTTCCCAAGGTGGGCACGCAACTGAGGGGCTCTTGGTGGATGGGCGTGAGCTGAGACTGAGGAAAGAAGAGAAAGCAGAGGGCAGCGTGGAGAGCAGGGGTGCGCTCGCCGGGAGCGGGGAGCCCACGGACTTACCTTTCTCTGTGGGGGCTGGCGGAGCCACCGAGGGACAGAAGCTGGGAGCATCACCTCGAGGAACTGAAAGAAAGGGCAAGGCACCTTTCAGCTTTTCTTTACCCCAGGATCGTTGAGCCCTGACTGCGGCACAGGTGCGATCTGGGGACGGTGGACCCGGACCGGGGGGCCGTCCCACCAAGCCGACGTCCCCGCTCCGGGCGGGCCGCTCTGACAGGCAGCACCGCAGTAACCAGCGCAGCATCTCGGTGGCCGAGAGCAGCCACGGAGGTCACCTCCCCTCCAGCCACCTGCCCACGCAGGCGGGTCTCTGCCGGGGTGAGGACACAGAGTTCTCGCATCTTCCAGAGACACCAATGCCGACTGCCATCAACTCCTGACTCGGGGAACTCACCTTTCTGGGCCTCAGTTTCCACACCCGTGAAATGGGGATACGACAACCCACCTCAAGCACTGCCGTGAGGGTGTGCCATGGGAGATAAGCCAAAGCTCTGGGCAGAAGGTTACAGGCACAAGCCAGAGCTCGACGGCTGGCAGCTGTTAGACAAGTGCCAGGCGGCATGGCAGGCGACGGCCCGGAGTCGAGGGCTCGAAGACCTGGACTCGGACCTCAGATGCCGCTTAGAATGCGGTGTGGACGGCCTGTTAGCTGAGCTCCCAGACCCGGCTCAGACGGGCACCGTGAGGACGAGCAGTCGAGAGGGGAAGGCGGGGCTGACCTGCGCTGTGCCACCCCGCCTTCCCGGGCTGGGCTGCACAGACGCTCCTCACAGCCTCAGGAGCACACACAGCCGCCCCACGGCCCAGCTGTGCAGAGGTCAAGGGCAGAGCCCTGGGGTCAGCAGCGCAGGGCAGGACTGGCCTGACCACCATCCTCTGTCCCGTCGTCCGTTCCCTTGTCTGTGAAACGGAGCCTGACCCGAGACTTTCCGTGGAGGCAGACAAGGACAAGAGACAAGGGCGAGAGTGTGCCAGGGTACAGGGTATGTAAAGTAGGCAGCATTTACTCGGGGCTTACTGTCTGCCCAAAGCACGCATGGGCCAGCTCGTCTAAGCTCACAACCCCGAGACAGGACCAGGCGAAGCTTGGGTCGACAGGTCCCCAAGTCCTTCATGGGTCGCCTCACCCCCGCCCGCCCTTGTCTCCTGCACTTTGGCAGCGATGGCCCAGGCCCAGCTTCTCTGAGCTCTGGAACGTCCAGTTGTGTGTGTCTCCACCTGCCTGGAGACTTCGCTCCCAGGCATCACCACGGCCCTGGCTCCTGACGCCGGCAGATGCAGCACACGTGGCTGGCCCCACCTCCAGAGGCCGGACCGGCGGGCTGGTGCGGGGCACAGAGATTGGGCATTTCTAGCTCCCAGGTGCCGCCGACCCATGGCCCAGGGACCCACCATGTGGAGCCCTGAGCTCACCCGCACTCAGAGGAGCCACCAGGCCCCCGCTCCTCCGCGCCAGCCTGGCGCTCACCCCTGCTGGCCCACTGAGATGTCCGTCCCCCTTCAAACAGAGTGGCTCTCAGAGGAAGGGCCAGTTAAGGGTCATCAGTACCAAAGGCACTGAACGCCCCGGTCCCTGGGGCCTGACATGCTGCCTCTGGAGATGCATCTTGAAATGCAAAGCCAGGTCACAGCAAAAAGGAAACATTTATCCACACTAATGGGACCCTGGAAAGTATAGAAAAGTCTAAGGCTGTGACATCAGAACACACCATCATCTCAGGGAGAGTCGGGGTGCAGCTGGCCCCCCCAAACACCTGTGCCTAGTGCTCCTAGCTTCATTCAGCCTGTTTCTCCCCACTTCAATGCTTCTCAAGTGGACACGACTAATCTTTCCGGGGAGCCTTCTTCACTTACAGGAATAGCTGAACCCTGAAAGTTCTCAGCCTCCTGGGGCACTGAAGCCTCGACACCCTGTTCCCGGGAGGCCGTGCCTCCCCTGGGGAGTCTCCGCCCTGAATTCTTACTGCGTCACCTTGAGCTGAGGCTCAGCCACTTGGCACTTGTCAACAAGTAAGTGCCACGTGCCCTGCTTCTCCCAACCGCTCCCTCTCAGGACCGCCAAGTTTGGTAGCGCGAAAGTGGCCACGGGGTTGAACACCCTGGTGAGCGGGGGCCACTCCCAAGCACGTGGCTCCCACCTCGCCAGCAGCACAGCCCAGTGGGGCACAGCAGCCTGCCTCAGCGGGCTGTTCCAGGCCGGCAGGAGGCATCTGCAGCTGCGCAGCCGGGGAGGCAGCTGTCTCGAACACAGGACAGGGCACAGGGAGCCCTCCCCGCTGTGGGCACCAGGACCCCGAGGGAGCCCACCACTTCCTGCCCAGCCTCTGTCCCATGTCTGTACTTAGCATGGCCACAAGTGTGCCCGCTTCTGCAAAGAGAGGAACCTTGAGGCTTCGGAGGATTTTTTTAGAAGCTACATTTGACTCTGAACCAGGCGAAGCCCTGCCCACTGCAGGCGGCAGCGCAGGGCAGAGACAGCCAGCGGGCTCTTCAGGAAGGCGGCCTCCGCTCAGATGCTGCCCCTTCCAGGAATCTGCCCTGGGGTGGTGCTGGCCACACCCTCGGCCCCTTAGCTACCGTGCTGTGAGTTCGCTTCCTCTCTGGCCTGGCGGGAAAGGACTGCAGCAGCCTCATTTGCATCCAGAGGGCCCTCATCTCTCAGTTCTGTGCTGAGACAGGGACTTCCTGGTGGCCTGGGGCCCAGATGTCAGAAAGTGATGCTGGGGGCGCCCCAGGGTCCCCTCTTGGCACTTCCTGCTCTGGGTCTGTGCCCTCCTCCCATACTAGCAGGTTTACTTTGCCGCTGGGCACGGGGCCTTGAGACCCAGCTGGGCCAGCCCCCCTTGACTTGAAAGCTTGAGCACAACCAGCAGGTCTCTGGAGCTTGCTGGTGAGGCCTGCTCTCTGGTGACTGGAGATGCCGTGACGACCAACAGGGCGTTCATTTGCTCATAAATACGGCCCGGGTCAAGACGGCCATCTTTCCTGACCAGCAACAGACCTGCCATATGTTTCTTTACTGCGGAAGTAGAGTCAGTTTCTGCTGCGGCACCGGCCGGAGCCTGGCTGACCCGCCGCCCGCCCGAGAACGGCCCTGGCACAGGCCTGCAGAGCAGCCAAGGGAGGAAGCGTGCAGCTGCTCAGCGCGGGACTTACCGGGCTTCTGGTACCACCCGAAAGGGTAGGTGCGGGCTTCGGTGTCAGGGGAGCTGCAGTCCAGCAGGTGCTGGGCCCCCTCGCTCTCCTCGCTGCACGTCTGGTACCCCAAGTTGTTCAGAGTTAGGCATGTCATCTCTCCCCCTGGAGCAAAGGTCAAGGACCAGGGAAGTGACCAGGGTGGAAGATTCCAGGGCATCAAAGGAAACGAGATCTTATTCACCAGCAGACGTGGTGCTGGTGCGCGCTTGGCCGCGAGGAAGACCTGGCAGCTACGGAGCTTCCCGTTTCAGATCACCGGGACGGCGGCAGCTAGTACCTCTGCAGCACCCACGGTGCCCAGGGCAGCGCTGGGCTCTGCCCACATTCCACTGCTTGGCCCCTACATAGCCTATGTGAGGGCCACCTTCACCCCGTCAGAGGACACGGAGGCTCAGGGAGATTAGTGACTTGTCCAGGCTGGCTCCTACCGTGGGACCGAATCAAGAGTTAAATTCAAGTCATATGGATGGAGCCGAAGATCACCCCCACCGAGGCCTGGACCCGGCCCTAAAGCTGAGCGGGAGCTGCCAGGTGGCGTGTGGGTGAAGGGGTCTGCGGGACAGGCACCTCAGCCCGCTTCCCGCCGCACAGGGGGGGCTCCCGCCACCGCGAGGAAGGCCGGGGCCGGGTGACACCATGGCCGCTGCGGGTTTCTGGGCGGCGGCCTGTGGGCGGGGGCCCCGCCTCACCTGCCAGCTGGGAGACGTTTAGGAAGCCGAAGCCGGCGCAGCACGGGTCCAAGTCACACCACTGCTCACACTCGAAGAACCTGGAGCAGGAAGCGGGAGAGCAAAGCCAGGTGTGCACGGTGGCCAAGAGCAAAGCCCGGTGTCTGCAGACGCCGGCGACTAGGCGGCTGGCTCCCTCCTGGTCTGGGGGCCTGTTTCCTCCACAGCCGCCCCACGGGGTACCTGCCAGCCCTCAGGCCTGGATTCCTAGCTTGAGGTTCCTTCCAAAGCCCAAGTTCTCCCGTCTCAGCTGCCTCGCCCGTCTTCACGGACCACTCAGCCAGCAGGCCCGGGTGCCTGTGACGGGCCGGCTCGGAGCCAGGCCCCCGGCTGACTGCACCCACAAGCCCCTCACAGGCTGGGCAGGTGCCTCCAGGGGCGCGGCGCCAGCCCACGCGACCTGTGACCCGCACAGGTGCCCGCTGGGGCCGGGCACTGACCTGTGCTGCCCAGCCCTGCGCTTCCGCAGCCCCCGGGGTCCGCAGCTCAGCGTGAGCCTGTTTCCAGGGGCAGGGCACGTGGGCTCAAGCACCTGCCTCCCTCTCCCTCTCGCAGACCATCCTGGCAGGAGGAACCTGGCTCCAAACCAGACCCTGGGTTCAGCCCTAAGCCCCTGTGCTGGCCACTCATCCGGGTCCTGGGAACTTGGCCTGACGCCTGAGAGTTCACTGGTGGTGCAGTGTCTGAGAGGTGTGGGGGCCCCTCTTTGTTCTCACTGCTTCCTGACTCAGGAGCCCCTGAAGCCACGTCCAAGGAATACAGCATCGCTGTCTCGGCAGCTGCTGGGGGCTGTTGCTGGGGGCTGGGCCCCCTCCACCCTGATCCTGCAGACACCTCCGGTTTCCCTGCCCCAGAGTCAGCCATCTGCCATCCTTTTCCCCATCTCGGGGTGCACTGCTGAACCCCAGCCTGGCCAGCGTGGCTTCCCACTAAACCCCCTTCTCTGAGGCCAGGCACAGCTCTGCGCCCAGCCCTGGCACCCCAGCACCAGGCTGACCTCAGTCTCCCCTGCCCCCAGCACAGGTGCCCAGGAGGCCCCAAGACAGACTGTCCTGTACCATCATTTCACCTCCGTTTTCAGACCTAGACTTGAACACTGACCGTGAATCAACACCACTAGATCAGGGGGCCCAGCCCCACACCTCTGGGATTCTACGGGACGGGAGGGCCGCCGAAGATCCAGACTGTTGAGCTGCACCCCAGGAAATGCAGATTCAGTAGGTCCTGGGACGGGGCCTGTAGAGAAGCTCCCAGAGGCTGCCGCAGGAGCCACAGGCCAGAGAGAAACACCACCTCCCCTCCGCCACCAGACAGCAGCTCGCTGGGTGTTTGTAGAGTAATTAGCCAGAAGCCGTGTCAGCCTGTGACCCTGTCGAGGCCCCGCTGGCTGCCAGGCCCAGCAGCACGGACGCCCGCTGCCAAGCTCAGGCACTGCCTGGCCCTCTCCTCGCCGGGAGACACGGCTCCATGCCCCTTCAGCTCCGGCCACGTCGGGGCCAGTGACTCACCCAGCACGTGCTTAGCGACGCCTGCCGCCCGCCTCTATACCCTTGCTATGGGCTTTGCACGTCTTGCCGCTCTTCAGCTTCACTGCCAGTAGGCCGCCCTCATTCTGGAGGCAGAAGGCCCTCCACTGTGGCCACTAGCAGGGTGGGGCAGTGGAGGAAGCGGCTTACCCGCTGGAAACGGATTTGTTGGACAGGGACACTTTGCTCCGAATGGAGACCCCCATCAGCTTCCGGAACGGCAGGCGAGTATAGAAGTTGTCCACTCTGTCCTTCAGTGCAGCTGCACAGGGGGAGAACGTATTACTTACAGGGCCTCCCTGGTGGCGCAGCGGGCTAAAGCTCTCCACAGCCACTTCGGCACAAGTTCGATGCAGAGCCAGGGAGGGACCCTCATGGCGCGGCACACCTCTCCTGTCTCCCCGCTGCCCCCTCAGCGGGGTATCTCAGTAGACCTGCCTGTCCTGCTCCCCACTCTGTCTCTGGGGAGTCCTCTCACCCCACCCCACATCTCTGGCCTGCACCCCAGTTCTGTATGCATAAATCGTAAAAATAGGTCTATATATTGTTTACAGATATCTAGAAAATATGGAGACAAAGGTGAAAACTTCTGACTCAGACAGCAGTGCAGTTCACGTATTTCTGTTCCCTCCGAACCTCCTTTTGGTAGATACATACACCCACGAGAGTGAAGGGGTGGGAGAAGGGAGACTAGGAAGCACAAAGAGAGGAAAATGTGACTTAATAGACCTGAAGGAGCTCAGTCCTCAGCGTCTTTGGGAACGAAGCAGGAATTAAGCCAACACACCTGTTGAATCCCTAACTGTGTAAGGGCCGGCGGCCCCGGGAGAAAGACATTCCCGGCCGACCCTGGAAATGTCTGCCAGAAGCAATTAGCTGCCAGTGCCCTCTGCCTCGCTCAGCTCACAGCTGCCCTGCTTCCACCACAGAAGACAGAGCGTGTTCTCCAGCAGGCATGAGGCTCGGGGCTCCTGGGGGCTCCTCCCCGTCTACCCACACAGTCAGGTTGAAACTCTTCACCCCCAGCTTTACGCAGGACCCAAACCACTGCTCCCAACTCAGACATAACAAGATTCCCTGGGAGGAAGGACCTAGAAACACTGCATGAGGAGACCCCAGAGGCAGGCGGTCGCCCACCAGAAGTCTGGCCTCAGCCAGGCCCGATCCCCATCTTCCCCCATCCCCCCGCCCCCGCGGCCGCTGGGTCAGCTGCTGAGTCCCTCCTGATGTCTGCGTGGGGAACCAGAGACAAAGCCCATGAAGGACACGTCACCTTGGAAGACACGGTGCAGGTGAAGCCACCCCCCCAAAGGCATCGTTAACGCCGGGAAGGAGCCAGCTGCCTGCCGTCCTGTCGGCCTGCACTGGCTGGTGTCCGCAATCTGCAGCCAGCCGTGGCTGGCAGGGCCCACGGCTGACCCTGAGACCCTGAGGAAGGGCTTCAAGAGCAGGCTCACTCCCCACGTTGCCTTGACCACTTCCGCGGCTTCAGAGCCACAAGGAGCACACATAACTATTGGACAAGGACGAAGCAGCTGACCTGGATATTTCCAAAGCCACAGAGGCAGCAGCCCATGGGAGATGCAGTCACAGATGCCGCCAGACGCTCACCTTTCTTCCGGAACAGGGCCCCCGGCCTGCGGGGCAGGACGAGGCTGCAGCCGCTGGGGGTGGGCGCCATGACGCCGTCGCACACCTGGGCCTCGGGGTACAGCGTGCAGGTGAAGTAGAGGGGAGCGCTGTCTGTTATCTCCACCAGCCGGCAGAAGGACGGCTCCTGGACACAGCCTGAGGCGGGGCAGAGTGGCGTGCCTGTCTTTGGGGGCCTGCTGGGAGGCTCCAGAATCCCCTGGGAAGGGGGTCTCGAGGGACTCTTTTTACGCAGGGCACAGGCCCAGCGCCACCCAGTCTGGAAGGCCGAGAACACTGGGGGAGGGCTGCCTGGGAAAGCGGGGGCCGCGGTTCTGCTTAAGGCAGAGATTGGTGAAGGGCGCTGGGAACAGCAGCACACGAGGCGACAGCTCAGCCTCTGTCAGTGTCCTCACACCCGAGCCACAGAAGGGCCCAGACTTTGTGAACCACCTTTACTGCTCCCACTTCCACACCCATCTTTGCCACTAGCACATGGAAAAGACAGGAGGAGCTGAGTCATGTTTTTGTCTCATCTCCCAGGTCAAACACAAGACCCAGATGCTCAGTAACTTCCTGCTGAGTAATGGACACATGGATGGACAGAAAGATGAATAGGTGGATAGATGGGCAGGTGGGGTGTGGGTATATGAATGGGTGCAGGGGTGGGGGTGGGTGGATGAAAGGATGTATAGACAGGTGGATAGGTAGAT